ATCCCACTGACTTCTCAGCCCACAAAAATCATTCAAGTAGCACTTCATTAGGAATAGGAAGGCCATTGAGAGAAGCCAGGATGCTTTCAACCAGACTCTCCATCATCTGTCGTCTGGCTTGATGAGTTGCACTTCCAATGTGAGGTGTCAGAGTGACGTTCTTCAACTTGAGCAAAGGATGATCTCTGAAACGCAGATTAGTTGGGAAGACTATTCAGAATCGTTTGGCCTCTTTAATTTCATATTCTGGTTTCATACCCCTACCCTGAGATGGTGAAGGTCTTGTAGCGAAGTCTAGATTACACCTAGGTGTGACCACTGCTTATCTGACCCTGGTACAGGTGACCCAACATTTCTGGGTGTAAAACACATACCCTAACTGCATCCAGGCCATTAGTACACAGTGGCATAACATGCCTGCTGGACTAAACGACACTGACCCACAAGACAAAAGGGCCTTGGGGAGACAGGCCCCATGGGACAAGCTGAATATGCCTTTAATGGGAGTGGCCTTCAGAGGGAAAAGACTGATTAATTAGAGTTGGCAGGTTAGAGGGAGATTCCTTCCAGGAAGAAGGCCAAGGATGGGAGTCAGCCTGGAAAGATAATGAAGTTTCAGTGAAGTGGCAGACTCAGAATGACGGATGGTACTGAAACCCATGGTTGGGAAAGTGCTGTCACCTGGCCCAAGAGGACTCTTTAGCATTTTAATACAGACAGAAGCCAAAGTAGCCATGCAGCAGCCATCCTCCAACCTAGCTACTGAGGCTCAAGGGACACACCTTTGGGAATCTTGTGGACGACCCCCAAGCCTATGGAAGCTCTCTGGAGGCACCTGTAATTTCTATCAATGCACTACACCTGCCCTCACCCCCAGGAATGACTGAAATAAGACACATCCTGGGGCACAATTAGGGATAGGAACTATTCTGAACAACACTTGTCCTCCCCACATGAAGGAGGTGGGCCCCACTTTACAACAGCATGTGCTGGAAACCAGTCTCAGTACAAGTGTGTGAACTGAGACAGGGTGACTGGCTTTGTCCTGACTCGGAACCCAAAAGGAGCTGAATCATGGCCAGTTGTACCAACACCTGGCCATAATATCATCTGGTACACAGGCTAGATACAATTCTGTTGAGAAGGCATAGCAAATATTTCTGTAACTGCTACTGATTTGTTATGTAATGAAACTGAATTGTACCGTGACCTTGCTGCAATATGGTGTAATGCTGGAATTGTTTGTAAGACTTAACACCTCCTGTAAGTAAGTCATATGATAATACTGATGTTGAAGATCAGTGGTGCTGAGAGACTGAGTTAAAGCCTCCTTGGGATGTTAAACCAATGGGAAATGACTGGCCTGAGGGAAAACTGGATTTAGATAAATAGCAGCGAATTTATATACTAAATAGTGCTACACAAGTTCATCATAAGGTACAAATAGTAGTATATCAAGGGGTGTGGGGAACAATCAAACTAGCACAAAAACACAATGGTTTAGTTGTTTCTTTAAATCTATCCCTGCTCCACATTGGCTGCTCTGAATGTTAGGCATACTGATATGATTGCTGTATCTGTCACAAAAATACTGTAATAAATGTAGGTGTTCCAAGAAATATGATCATTTTGCCATAAGACAGCCTAGGCCCAGGGCCAGGGGGTGGCCTGTGTAGTAAATAATTAATTTACAGGCAGGCTTAGAGCTCTAGAACTCTGCACATTCCAAGATAAGGCTGGCCTTTGGCCTCTGGGAGATAACCTGGGAGCCCTGGAGATATACTGCCTGATAAGAGTGTCTTCTTATACTTGGGGCCTTGGGCAGAGCTGGGTAGTTTACACTACACTGTAATTTGTGGTGAATGCCTGTTTTGGTTTGCCTAGGCTCTAGGTCAACCTGTAGCCAGTTTGACCTCTGCAGCAGCTAGAGACTAAGAAGCCAGTGTCAGAAATGTGGGCACTCCATGCCTGCATACCTGACCCTTGCTCCCAAGGCTCGGGTGAGTGTCCCTGGTTGGAGATACTTCACATGTGTTGTCACTCATCATTGCTGGAGGCAGTAAGTGCTGCCCACGCAGCTCCACTGGGAGGACACCTGGAAGTTCAGGCCTGGTTCTCCTGGACACCACCCTATCAGTTTTCTGCTTTTGCTGATTTTAAACTATGTCTTTTCACGTAATAAGCTAATTGTGAGTATGAAAGCTTTTCTGAGTTCTGCACAGCTTTCTAGCAAACCATTATGCCTGAAGGTGACCTTGGGGACTCCTGGCACTATCAGCAAATAAACTTTTTCTTTTGAAAATAATCTGTAGTAAATCCTTTTGTAAAGCAAAGAATATTTATGTAGTGTGACTAATATAACCCTAGATTTCCTACTTTTTAAATAATTTTTTTCATAGTAAGCAGAATCAGAATGTCTCCCTGAAAAACCAAGATGAAACCTGAAACATAGCTGGTAAGTACAGAGATTAGAAATTAATATAGATATCTAAAGATTGTTATTCATGAGAAAATTGCTAAAGCTCTTGGCCACAGGAATGATTTCATGTGGGACATGGGGAGTGCTTCACCTGTTAGGATAAACTAGACATCGGGATGTGACCCTGATATTTGCCCTGTGACATGTGAGTAAAAGCTCATTCTAGTAGGTTAGGCAACAGGGGTGATCACATGACTTCTAGGTGTCTGAGTAAGTTGATGACTGTCAAAAATGGTCATGCTTCTTAATTTATATCGTGATTATTTTTTTATACTAGATTAGTGGCTCTCTTTTTTGGTCTCAGAACCTCTTTACACTTTTAAAACTTGAGAACCCAAAGAACATGTGTTTTGGGGGCTATATCTATCAACACTTTTTGTATTAGAAATTAAAACTGGAATTTGACACAACATTGTAAAATGATTATAAATCAATTAAAAAAGTTAAAAAAATTTAATACAAGAGCACATTCCCTTAGCTGTCAGGGTGTCCAGAAGACTCCAGTGTGCACTTGTGACAAAACTTGAGTGGAAATAAGTGACATCTTACAGTATCATGAAAATAGTTTTGACTTGTAAGTTCCTCTCTACCTGCTAGAGTACTGCCTGATTCATGAATTATTAAATAAAGCCAATTAGATCTTTAAAATGAAAAGAAAGAAAATAGTTTTGACTTCACAGACCCCCTGAAAGGGTCTCCAGACCACATTATGAGAAATTCTGTTCTGAATAAATTGCTGTTTTTCTCAGAAATGTCTGTAAGTTCTATGGTCAGTCTTGATACACTTGGATAGTAAATTTGGCTATAATGTCAAGCATTCTGCTGACAGTAATTTGCTCAGTGGATAGAAATCAAAGTTGGGGGAACCAGAGGTCAGAACAGTGGGTGTAATGAGTGGCCGGATCCAGATGCCCAACAGGCTGGACCACTGGGTCACAACACACAAGCAAATGAAATTAGACACAAGTAAATGTAAAGTTCTACACTCGCACTTAACAACACTTGAGGGACTAACAATTCCAGTTTTAGCTGACTAAACACTCAATGAGCTGCGGTGCAATGACCCTCTAGATACAGGCTGTGGCCATGGCTCTGTGTCCCTCTCCCCAGGGCTCCAGCACGGGTCCTGGATGCCAGTCTCACGGGCACACTTTCAAAGGACCTGAAAATCTAAGTGCTGAAACACAGTAATAATGGCGAGGTGTCTGTAAATGATATCACTCAGGCTACAAGTAAAGGATGTGAAGATATTTAGCCTCAAAACAAAAAAGACCAAAATAAAATGTAGTGATTAAAATAATGCAGGTCTGTAGAAGAATGATCAAAGTCGGCCTTCGATGCTCCACAGAGCAGACTGGGGCCAGTGGGTAACCGGAGGACGTGAAAAAGACAGTTCTGTGCAGCCTCCATCCTTGCGATCTGGGCCCCAGGGCCCCAAGCACCCTGTCCATGGAGGTGTTGAGGCAGAGGCCTGACACCTGCAGAACTGGACAACATGAGACCCTGCACGATCACAACACGGGACTCTGAGACCTGCCCCCTGGAGCCAGAGAACTGCAACTGTCGGCTTCCTTACCTGGGTAGGGGTTCGGGGGACGTCACATCCAGCGCTGCCGCTTTAATGACCCCGGTCTGAAGGGCTTCCACCAGGGCGTCCTGATCCACTAACGGACCTGGATGGATGAGACACCTCCTCTGTAGGAACCACGGGAAGGATGCTCTGGTTGCATGAGCTACTGTTCAGACACATCCTGATCTCATCAGAAGTCTGACAGAGCACGTGAACTTTGTCCTGTCAAGCGCCTGCCACATGCCCAGAGAGGCTCAGCCCTTCATAGACACTGTCTTGCTGAATCTTCCACTTACCCAGGAAAAGGAAACACTCATTTTACAGATAAGAAAACTAAGGCTCACAGGTTACAAGCTCCCCAAAGTCACACTTTCCTACCACATTCCCCCGGATCTGAGCCTAGGTCTGTCTGACACCAGCCTGGGCCTTCTCACTGCACTGCACCACCTCCCAAACCACCAAAGGGTCCCAGCTAAGGAATGTGTAGTTTTAAATACACATTAAAAACCGGAATAGTCACAAACATGATCCACAACTGCATTTCAAATACAAGACATCAGGGTGAGCAGCAGCAGCTGAGAAGGAGACCCTCTCCTTCCAGCAGAGACCTACGAGGAGCCTCCTTCCAGCTGACAGGCTGTGAGCGGCCGCCCACCTGGCAGGACATGGAGCACCCACGGCAAGCATTCCTCTCCTTGTTTTACAGATGAGAGACACAGGTCGATGTTGCCACCTATCGTTGGTCGTGCCAGGTGCTCCAGCCCGAGACCCCCAAAGGCAAACCGCCTGCACGTCTGATGTCAGCACAAACCCTCCCGTGTGTGTCGAGGGCTCTGCCTGTCTTCTTTTAGATGCCACAGCGACCCACCAACGCTAGTTATAGCACAGGGCCTACTGCCTCCTGCACACATGCACAAAGCTCTACACCAGTGTCAAATGACCAAATAATAAAGTGAAGGCTCAGAAAATTCATCCCCATAAATTCTGCTTAATTACCTGGGAGGTCAAACTGTGATGCCCCCCACAAGAAGACACCCAAACTTGGATGTGAGACCTGCCACAGTGGAATGTTACCCTCTGTTGCTAACTTGAGGTTCAAAAGGATGTGGAGATAAAAATCAGAAATATCCCTAAATAGAAAGTAAAATCCCTTTAACTCAACACCCCCCAGTCTACGTGGACCCTTCAGGCCATGCAGGGGAACGGCTGACTGGAAATGATGAGGGGCTGGGGGGGGTCCTCCTGCAGGGTCCTCAGCACACAGCAGGGGGCAGGTACCTCTGCCGATGTTGATGAGAGTGGCGCTGGGCTTCATCAGACTCAGCTCCCGCCTCCCGACCAGCCCCTGGGTCTGGGGTGTTAGGCTCACAGCCAGCATCACAAAGTCTGACCACTGAAGCAGGTCATCCAGCCTCGCACAGTAAGTGGCCCCAACAGCTCCCTCCTCCTCCAATTTCCTATTAAGAGAATAAGGAAGAAAAACCACATTCCCCAGTTAGAAATTCATCAAATTGCCCCAGGAGGAGTTTCTGAGGGCCCAGAGGACAGGGGTCACCCAAGATACCCTGTGGACGCCTCTGGGTTCTCCGAGGTGACACCTCAGCATCTGCGTGGTTTCGCCCCAGTCTGAGAGCCCCCTGAGGTCATGAGCTTCCTGTCGCTCATCTGTGAACCACCAGGGTCTGCTACAAGCCCGCTTGTGTGTCAGACATGCTTTCAATGATGTCAAGTACTGCTGAATGTGGGCAAACACATCAAAGTTTCCAGAAAAAACAGAGAAACAGGAGAGGGCCTAGGAGTGCCGTCTGCTCAACAGAGAGCACGGATCCAAGGGTCCAGTGCTGGCAGGATTGTGTGCTTTATTCTGGGTCCAATCTTACCTCCTGCTCTGGCCACACCAGAAAGCTGATTATTTAACAGAAATTCTAAGCTCCAGGAGGTCACAGTATCCCTGGTAGCCACTACTGCCCTCCAGATAAGGAATATAAAACTATATGAATTCTCTCCTAACATGTCTTGGCCAGGGGATGGCCTGGAGGAACAAGGAACGGCCATGTGCTGGCCGCTGTGAATGCCCCGCCCACATCACACACCTAGAGCCCTGGCCGCTGCGTCTGCCCTCCTCGCACTGAGAGCTGTGACAACTACCCGAGTCTCTCCACTGTCCACTGCGCAAACACAGTGACTGTAAGGGAGACAGCCTCCCAGCTCACCACGCCTCCATGAATGGAAATCTACACTATGGCAACAGGAGCCACTGAAAGGCTGTGAACCATGCCATCCTCTGGCTGGTCTGCAGATGGGGCTGGAAGTCTGGGAGCGGGTGTGTGTTTCAAGTGAGGAAGGACGGGGCCTGAGGCGTGATGGGTGGAGATGGTGAAGTGAGAGAGAACAGGTCTGAGAGTCGTGAGTGGATGGAATCAGCAGGACCAGGTGTTGGGCTGAGTGCTGCTGGCAGTGCCAGCGGAAGGGGGCCTCAGCCTGAGTGCCATGGCGGGGCGGACACCTCAGTGTGTTGTGTGTGTTAGAGTGTGGACAGCATCTCCCAAGAGCAAAAAAATCACTTTACAAATAAAAAAGCACAATTGTAGGTGAGCCAAAAATCTCTTTTCTTTCTGGTGAAATTTTTTCAAGGTAATCATAAAAAACCACAATGCCCTGACCATCAGTCCTACTTTTTGGAGAGAAAGAACAGGGGAATTGTATGAAAAGTGGAGGCATAATACCTCTAAGCCGTGTTTAAGGCAGTGATGGTGTAAGTGCTGCTCATTAATTTCAAGTCCATTTTCTGAATTTTACCTCCGTTTCCTATTGTGGTACAAAATCTTCATTTCAAACGCTCTGGCCCTCTGGGCAATCTTATAGCCAATGCTGCCCATGCCGATAATTCCCAGAGTGGCCCCGGTCACTCCCTGACCCATCCAGTTTATAGAAAATTTCTCCGTATCTGGTGAAACAGCCAACTGATGACCTGAAATTAAAAAGGTGCAGATTGGGCAGTGGGCAGTGCGCACAGCACACACGGAAACCCCACAACCCGCCCTGTGACATCGCGGCAGAGTGATGTAACAAACCAGAGCCTCCTTGCGGAAGGCTTTAAAATAACAACTTCTTTCGCATTCAGGGAGGATTTTTGGTTAAAATTTGGTTTTGCAGTGTGTGTGTGTGTCTGTGTATGTGTGAGTGTGTGTGCATGTGTATGTTTGCATGTCTTAGCATGTGACTGTGTGTGTGTGTGTGTGTGTGTGTGTGCATGTGTGACTGTGCAAGTGTGAACCAGCAGCAGCGGGAACAGCACTGGCCTGGTTCCCGCTGCCTCCTTCCTCAAGCCGCTTCACCCCAGGGCTCCGTCAGGACAGTGTGAAGCGCTGCATCACTTTGCTGCCTTCCTGGAGATGCTCCCAGCGATGATGTCCAGTGTGTGGAGAGGTGGGATTCCGCCACTCGCTTGTAGGCCTCCACCCCTGGTAGCGTGGGGTGCTGACTGGCCTATGAATCACCCCAGGGGCCTTTCACAGTGGTGCTGAAGTTACTTCATGCACACAGTTACCCACCGCTGCATAATGAGTGGAGCTCGGTGGGGAGAAACAGGGCATCAGACAGAGGCCACGTGCCCCAGACACTGAGCTTGGCACTGAGGGGGCCATAACCACTAAGAGTGGCTCCGATCCCTAGGGCAGTTATGAGGAACTCGGGGCCAGAAGATAAAATTGTATCACGCGTGGCATTAAACATGTCACCTGATTTCCGGAAAACCAGCATCTCCAACAGCTGCTTACCTTCCACTACTCTCCGGGCTGCGGCCAGCAGCAAGGCCATCCCCAGGTCTGCTGTGGGGCTGGAAACAGCATGTGGTGTGCTGGCTACCTTCACGCCAGAGCTGGCAATGAGCGCCAGGTCCAGGTGGTCCAGCCCGGCCCCCGCGCTGGCAACGATCCTCAGGGAGGGCAGGCTACGCAGGAGCTCCCGGTCAACAGCTGGCCTCCCGCCCCAGACGAACACAGCGCGGATCTTCGGAGCTAGTTGTGTTTTATTCTCCAAAAATTCTTCCATGGTGATGAGGTGAAAGTGTTTCTGCAGATCTCTCACGTGATCTTCACATATACCATGCGGTCCTTTAAACCCAGACACCAAAACTCCAGGTAGGTCCTGATCGCCCATGGCCTGCAGAAAGTTGAAAGCGGTCTCTGCTGTCAAAGAGTCTTCGTGAGAATAACCGCTACGTTATTCTATCACTCTAGATTTTCTAAATGGCAACAGGGCAAATTCACTTTACTTCCTGGATACATTCCCGTAAAACCTGAACACAACAGACCCAGAGCTCTGCGGGTACCAATGTCGGCACCGTGCCCACTTTCCTCCCTACCTCACCTGGGTCCTTACGCCTGCCCTGCGGCGGTGGGGTGTGAGGGGGGCGGAGGAGGGCAGCCTCCCAGCCCTACTCAGGTCCTCATGCCTTTGTGTGACCCTGGAGTCTGTGTCTAGTGAAGGGAACACAGTGGAGCAAGGGAGTTCACTGCCCTCTCCCGCTGTCCCCTCTCCTAGGGCAGCCCACTGCCAAGCTGGGGTGCAGCCCTGTGCCCAGGCCCAAGTGAGTGAGAAGTAAAACTCAGAGGCCAGCTAACAGCTTGGTGAGCCCTGCAATGACCATGGCCCTGGCCAATGCCTTAACTAAAGTTTCCTAAGACCCTGAGCCAGAACCACCCAGGGAAGCCACATCTGGATTCCTGGCTTGAAGACCTAGGAGATAACAGATGTTTGTTCTTTTCAGCCACTAAAATAAAACCGACCATTTTTTACTGTGAAAGTAAAAGACATTTGTTACTGTCTGTCAAATGATTAAATAATGTTTTATGTTCCTTGTTCCAAATTAAAAATAAGATATTTTTAACATTTTATAGCTTTCCTCCAAAAAGAAAACTGGTTGCTTTCAAGAGTTGAGGCTAATGAATGCATTTTATCTTTGGGTCATGAAATTAGCTGAAAATGTTTAAAATATGTTCCAAGCTCAGAGCATAATTGGCTAAAAAACAATTTGTGTTTACGTTTTGGACATTGAATGAAAGATTAAAAGAGCTTCATTCCAAATAAGATCTTAGTTTATTTTTCCAGAAAGGAGGCTCAATTTCTGACTGCTTTAATATTGGTTACAGAGCAAGGACACACACTGATTACACCGTTCCTGTCCGTGGTTGTATGTGGAAAAGATCCAAGACCCTCCAAGTGAGTCATGGCTGCTCCAACTGTGAAGAGGGTGGGGAGTCCTCGGTGGGAGAAATGGGTGTAGCAGGGATGGGAGCACCAGGAAGATTCAGGAGATCACTCCATCCTTGGTCTCTGTCTTCTGCTCTGGCATAGACCCTGACCATCTCCAGTCACAGACAAGAGTCCAGCAAAGGAGCTTGAGACAGGAAGGGGGACCAACCATCAACAACTTCCTGAGAAGGGAGCCTGAGCCCAGTGGGCTGCTGGGGCTGAGCCCAGTGCTCAGTGGTGGGAGGGTCGAAAGATGAGGACTTTGGCTTTGGCACAGCTCTGTGGCTGATCAGAGGTCCCCAGCCTTCCTTGGTTCTTGGTAAAGCTGGAGTGATAACAGGTAGTGTTTTATAGTTGCAGCCTAAGGTCACATTGCCTTTTCCTCCCCTAATTTCTGTGAAAAGAGAGCTCAGTGGACATGTCTCTGCAGGTGTCCATGGATGGACAGCATTAACGTGATGGTTAGGCTGGGAACATTCTGACAACAAAGGAACATGCCACAAAGTATTACTGGGTGTGTTATTAGACACTGGCAGTTTGTCCAAGTCAGAGGATAAACTCACATGTGAAATTTGGAAAAATCAAAAATTTTACAGCTTTTGAGGGGGAGGGTATAACTCAAGTGGTAGACAGCATGCTTAGCATGCATAAGGCCCTGGGTTTAACCCCCAGTACCTACATTGAAAAACTAACTAACTAAATAAATACTTCCCCCTGCAAAAAAAATGAATAAAAAATTTTTAAATTAAAAAAAATTTCACAGCTTTTTTTGTTAACAGAGTGATACTTCAGAGATGTACCTTTTCCAAATGCTATGTGCATTCTCCTCATGCTGTTTAATTTGAACAGCTAAACATAAATTAAAAGTCAGCTTCCTCCTTGCAAAATGATTGCTTAATTAAAATAAAAAAGAACTCGTATTACCTTTGTTGAAATCACCTTCAACAGATCCAAGGCTATAAAGTCAGGATTTTCTTCTTGTAAAGCCCCTGTAAAATCGATACCCAGAAAGAAAAGTAAAGGAGAATGAACTTCCAACTTCTTCCTTCAAAGGAAAATAAGACCGACGCCTGTGCATTACTCAGGAGGGTGAGGTGAGGAGGGAGGCATGCAGACCCTGACCTGGCCCTGAGGAGGCGGGGCAGGAGGAGTGAGGAGATAACACAAGTACACAAGAGCTAATTCAGTTCGCAGAAGTGAACTGAATTAGGGAGTGCGGAGTAAAGAAAATATTTTCAACTTAAAAAGCAAAAATGAGAAACATAAAAACCAAATGCAATCAATACAAATGTTTGGTTTTGGGGACAGAGAGAAAGAGACAAAAAAGGTGGGGAGAGGGCAGGAAAGAGGACAAAGCAGGGCCAGGTGCAAAGGAGGAGCTGGCGCTGGCCTCACGCTGCTCTGCAGGCGGCGCTTCCCTCAGAAACTCGCTCTCTTCCAGCACAAGGGGAGGGAAGCAGACAGCCATGCCCGGCGGCCCTGACGGTGGAAGGGAACCTGCAGGGCCTGGAGAACCAACTGCAAGCTTTCAGCGAACAGGAGTTATTAACGTTTAAATCTGAACAACAATTTAGATATTTACCCAAGTGTCTAGAAACAAGCTTACACCAAAGAGGGAGGCTGAATTCATACAATGCAGTAAAACTTCTTAAAATCCTATTTCCTCATGATAGCTCCTCTCTTAATATTTGACAGGTGAGCCCAACACCCCCACATCATCCTCAGGTCCCCAACGTGCCAAGTCTCCCTGCCACCCTGTCCTCTTGTCCTCCAACACCTTCTGAAGTTTCGCCGCCCACAGTAGCCCTCTGCCTCTGCGTGAGTATAAATCCAAAGCTGCTTGTCCTCTGTCATCTACAGATCCCTGTACAGATTCTGTGCCAAAGAGGCTCAAAAAACAACCTGGAAAAAAGATTCCTCCTTTACAGGAGGTAGATGGTGCCATGGTTAGCCCCTCTTATCACTTATCACCCTCAGCATGACATTCTGGACTTGATGGAAGTGACCTAAGCGCTCATGACTACATGAGGCCACCTAAAAGATAAAGATACACCAAAGGGCATGCCCGTGAGGATGTGTTTGCTGCTTTGGGATTAATGAAAACTGCACTGTTTGCACTCTTTATGTGAGGTTTCTCCAGTCACCAAGTGTCAATTAAAAAAACTGCGTTCATATAAGAGATTAAACCATAAACTATAAAATCTAATGTTGGTACCTGAATCTTATCCATTTAAAGCTTAATCTGCCACTGCCTGGAGCTTAGAAAAAGAGTAAATACCTTTAGGTTCTGGCAGTCTCTGAAGCCGCCTTAAGTCTTCTCTCCAACAAGGCAGGTATAAATAGTAACACTGGACTTTCCTTGTTAAATCCTTTAGGATCGTGCCCTGCAGGCCCACATGACTTTCAGAATTCTGATGCTACCCACGTGTCCCAGGTAAGGCCGGAGGTCAGTCACACCCACGCGGCAGAGGTCCAGTCTCCCGCCCACAAGGCAACGTCCTAGGGACACATTTACCTTTTTAAAAAGACTCAAGATTTAAGGACCTGACCCAGCCTCCCAGGCACGAACCTGACCAGGAAGGCTGGAGGTCAACGGGCGCCGGCCACGCCCCCTGCCAGGCCACACCCCAGCCATGCCCCCAGCTCCAGCAGCCTCTGCGAGCCCCGCCTGCGGGACCAGGCCCCGCCTGCCGGCCCACCCCGCGCTGCTCTGCAGGACTCCGGACGGAGCCTCCCTCAGAGCCGGGCTGGGTGGTGGACTTGGGGACCTGGGCGGTGGGGAAGGTTGCTGGCCTCAGCCTCAGTGTGCGGGTGGAAAGAACAAACAGAAACCTCATTTAAGAGGGAATGAGGAGTGTATATATGTATAACTGAGTCACCATGCTGTACACCAGAAACTAACACGACATTGTAAATCGACTATACTGTAAGTCAAAAAATAATACGTTAGAAAAAAAGATGGATTTGTGGCCAGAAGGGGAAGCTCTCACCTGCCCCCTCTGCCTCCACTGGAGACCCACCCTTACTGTTAGATAGGCAGATAGCTAGATAGGAGCAGAGAAAGAGGGACACAGACCAAATGGCAGGAATTGGGCAGAAAGGAGGGGCACAAGCCAAATGCTGGAAACCATACATCATGTAAGCACCAGGGGTCCCTGGGCAGAGAAAGAAAAGCAGGAACATTTGGGCTGATAAGGGGCCACACCTTTTGGCCTGGAGACCAACAAATAAAGGTGAAAAAAAGGCTGGAATTTTCAGTGTCCGAATGTAATCTTTTGCTCATTATGCCCTCATTTCAATAAAATTAGCCTTGCAGATCAGAAGTCCCCATCATGCACCGATGCCATAATACTTCTGATCCAGACTAAAAAAGGACAAAAATCCCTCCTCCCTTTGGGAAGGTGGAGTTGGGATGATAATCAGGAAATACGACCCCAAGCCCTTCCCTCCAAAATGAATATTCCACCCATTTATTTTTACACCCTATGTAACTACCTTGCCAAAGAAACTGAGGGCAGCATCACCTGAGCCTGCCCGCTCTCCCCTTGAGAGTGTATTATCCATCCTTTAATAAATCCTCACTCTACTTTTTTAACCGCTACGTCTTGTCTCTGAATTCTTTCTGGGATGGGACAAGAACCTGGAACACCGGTTGCATCCACTGGTAACATTACTATCAACTCAGTAATGGAAGGAGGAATTCCTCTGTCAGGCAACAGCCGGCCTGTGGGGAGCCAGTACTCTCCCAAAGCCCCCTTGCCCTCTCTGAAGTTTCTCCTCTGTTCCCTGGACTTGCCAGTGGTTTGCCATAGATGGCATGTCCTACATTGCAACTTTTTGCTGTTCTCGAATAAACCCATTTTGCTTATAAAACAATTGGCTGTTTTATTGTTTTAAGTCAAGGGGGTGGGGGAAGGTGTGGGGGACTACACTGGTGGGCAGGGTCTCCATGCTGGCACCTGGTAAAAAGCAAGTCTCACCCTGAGGTCAGGACTGCTTTTGTCTGGGAAGGTGTGGGGTAGGTGACACAGGCCCTCCCTGTAGGACGGTGGCACTGCCCCACCATGCTCTAAGTCACCCCCCAAGGGTTCACTCCCCCACCTTGTCTCTCTTCTGTTCTGGGTGCACGTGTTACAAATTCAGTCATTTTGAGACAGTAGGGAAGGAGGCAGGGCACAGCCGTTAAAGAATGACACAGCCATTAGCACCAAGATAGTGGAAGATTCAACCCCCAGTAGGCCTTGAGCTTCAACATAGGCTTCTTGAAATACAGTAGCTGCTAAATGGCACTCCCATAGGTGCCACAGCAGTTTCAAGGCTGACCATACAAAGTCGGAAAGTGGGTGATGGCCCAATTCCTGGGAATCCCAGCCCCTTCCCCAAAGTAACTGGAATAATCCCCCCACTTGTTAGCATATGAAGTTACCAAGCGCATAAAAGCTAACAACCCCCGCAATTCCTCACCGATCTCATTTTTCCTAGCCAGCCCCGTGCTCTCCCTTCTGAGTAAGATGACCTGCATTGTGCCTATGGAACGTGTATCTCCTAGGTCTTTCTTCTTTCTTTCTTCTGAGACAGCCTGCACTCCGTCTATGGAGCATGTATTTCTTTGAACAAAATCCACCTTTGGTCTACTGTGGCTCACTCTTGAATTCTCTCCTGTGTGAAGCCAAGGTCCCTCGATTGATGGGGTGTGTCCCAGGGATTCGACTGAGATGTGCGACACAGCCATCCTCTCATGCCCCACATTTTTTCTGCATCAACTTTTCATAGTCATACACCACCTGTGTTGTTACTTACTTGTTTTTCCCCTAAATAAATTAAAAATCAACCCTGTGTTTACTTACCTAGTCAAAAATATTATCTGGAGAAACCTCTGGTCTTATTATTGTCTCTCAAGCAGACTAAACGGCACTACCGACCCAAACAGCTCTCTGTGTTCATCTCCAGCCCAGACCTCTCTGCGGAGCTCACGCAGCAGCTTTTCTTACTCTGGTGCTAATCTCCCAACTCCCCTCTCTCTACACACTCCCTCTGCAATCCTCTCCTGTCCATGGCAGCCTAGGGGCTCGAAGGACATAAATCTGACCTGTTAACCCCGAGCTGAAGGCCTCAGCAGCTTGTCTCATGCATGTGGTGAAGTCTGTTATCCTAACTAAGCACAGCCTCAGAGGCCCCATTTTCTGGCCTGTCCATCCTGCAAACTCCTCATATGCTCATTTCCACTGCAAATTGTCCCAAACTGCCATGCTCTTAGCCCTGGACTTGTTCCCAGGCTGCCAGGACTCGACCCCAGCTCCTCCCCAAGTTCTCACTCATCTTGCAGGTCCCCATTTAAGTATCACATCCATAGGGAAGCCTTTTCTGAACTCAAAGTCAGAGGATTCAGACTAACTGATTTCAAAACTTACTACAAAGCTACTAATCAAGACAGGGTGGTATAAGCATAAGGCTAGACTTACAGATCAATGGGATAAAGTTGAGACTACAGAAATAAATGCTTACATTTAAATTCAGTTGATTTTCTTATAAGCCCAACATGTAACCAGTTTTAAATACATATGTACAAAAAAGAGGAGAAAATGAAGTCAATTGATGTTCAACAAGGGTGCCAAAGCAATTTGATAAGGAAAGAATAATCTTTCCAATACGTAGTGCTGGGGCATCTGGATAACCACATACAAAAGAATAAAGTCGGACACCTACCAAACACCATACACAAAAATTAACTTGAAATTATCATAGATCTAAAAGTAAGAGTTAAAACTATAAAACCCTTAGAAGAAAACAGGAGTAAATATTCATGACTCTGAGTCAGGCAATGATTCTTAGATATGACACCAAAAGCACAAACAACACAAGGAAAAAGATACATGGGATTCAATCAAAATTTTAAAGTTTTACGCTGAAATGATTATCAATAAAAAATAAGAAGTCAGTCCACAAAACTGGAGGAAATATTTCATATCATGTATTTGATGATGGATTTCTATCCAGAAAAATAAAGAACTCTTACAACTCAAAAATAAAAAGAACTAATTCATTTTTAAGTGGCCAAGGAACTGAACAGACATTTTCCAAATGGCCAATAAGGACATTAAAAGCTCTGTATCACTAGCCATTAGGGAAATGCAAGTCAAAATCATAAGACATCACTTCACACCTACCAGGATATCTTTTTAAAAAGACAACAAATAAGTGTAGGCAAAGAAGTGGAGAAATTCAACCCCACTACATGGCTGTTGGAAACGTACTACTTCTGAAAACAGTTTGGCAATTCCTCAAAATGTCAAACAGTTACGGTATGATTCTGCCATTCCACCTGTATATGTACCCAAGAGAAATGAAAACTTGAATCTATACAAAAACTTGTACATAAATGTTCATAGCAGCATTATTAATGATAGCCAAAAGGTGGAAACAACCCTAATGTTAGTCAACTGATGGACAGATAAAATGCAGTATATCCACATAATAGAATATTAGTGACCAATAAAAAGGAACTAAGTACAGTTGACCCTTGAACAATGACCCTCCATGCATTCAAAATCCACGCACAATTTTACATATTCCCGTTCCCTCCTGTAGACTCTACCACCTGCAGGCCACGTGGTCCCCGTGTAAGTGGCTGCATCGATCAAACCCCGTTGTCCCAGGTCAACTGTACTGATGAGTCTACAGTGCAGGTGAGCCCCGAGAAGAGCATGCTCAGTGGGAGGTCGGGAACAGAGGACTTACACAGAGTGTCTGGCATAGGCGGGGGTTGCCAGCTCCAAAGGATGGAGGGAAACGGGGCTGACCGCTTATGAGCAGGGGGTTTGGGGGCTATGAAAGTCTTCTACAATCGGACTGTGGCGTTGGTACCACGACTCTGTGAGAAACTACCTCACTGTAACGGGTGAGTCACTTCACGGTATGTGAAAGATACCTCGACAAAGCTTCCCACGGAAGAACCACCCGGAGCGCCGGCGGCAGCACGACCACGTGCGAGCACCCAGCTGGACGGTTCACGTGGGAGCTTTACCACAACAAAACACGTTTAAAAATACTAATTTCAATACATTATTTGTGGGCATCTGAGTCTTACCGGTACCCTTCTGCCAACCCCCACCCCGGGTCCCGGGGCGCCGACCGGGGAGCAGGTCTGAAGCGGCGCAGCCCCACCGCCGCTCGCACCGCATGCGTCCAGCCGCGGCCCCGACTCCACCACCCCGGCCCGCGCGCGCGCACGCACCTGCCACCGCCCACGCACTGCCGACGGCGCGCGCGTACAGGCCGGCGCTCACGCACTGCGGACGCGCGCACGCACACGCCGGCGCGCGTCCTCGCCCGGAAGGACGGCTACGCGGGAGGGCCCAGTGTGGGCGGAGGAGGTACGAGCAGGGCTCCCGGCGAGAGGAGGGGGCAGCGGGTGTGGGAGCCCGGAGGTCCTTTCGCCCTGGGTTCTGCGCCGGGGGCGGGGGCGTGCCGGGGGCTGGGGCGGAGTCGGGAGGACAAGGTGGACCCGGGCCTGGCCCCTCTCCCGGGCACACCGACTGGTGAGGCCCGGGAGGGGTGGGGTCCCCGTGGGGTGAGGCCCGGGAGGAGTGGGGTCCCCGTGGGGTGAGGCCCGGGAGGGGTGGGGACCCCGTGGGGTGAGGCCCGGGAGGGGTGGGGTCCCCGTGGGGTGAGGCCCGGGAGGGGTGGGGTCCCCGTGGGGTGAGGCCCCGCCGGTGCGCTGCAGTGGAGCTGGATGGAGCTGACTCTTAGGTTCCCGCCACCCCGCTCGCAGACCCGTCGGCCTCAAGATGTCGTACATGCTCCCGCACCTGCACAATGGCTGGCAGGTGGATCAGGCCATCCTTTCAGAAGAAGACCGCGTGGTCGTCATTCGGTTTGGACACGACTGGGACCCTACTTGTATGAAGATGGACGAGGTTTTGTACAGCATAGCTGAAAAGGTAGCGCAGCCCCGCTTCACGTCGCGTCGTGACCTCCGCTTGGTCTTTTCATGACGTTGGATTGCTTTTGCTTTGCCATTTGACAGTGAGATTTAGACGTGTGCGCTGTACTCATTCTTCTTAAATGACTTTAAGTCTTAAACGACTGTTAGGCAACACGTTTACCAGTTAAAGAGAAGCGGCAGGGTTCACAAAGGGACAGAGATGTGAGGACGTGCTCCCTGAAATTGGTCAGAATAGCTTATGGCTTTTTCTGGGAGAAGTTTCCATAGATTTTCAAATTTTTAAGAGGTTCATGGTCTCTCTCCCTAAATAAGTTAGTAATTTCTATTGACAGGATGTTTTTCAAAATTTATCTCTGTAGTGCCAAGAGCAAAACACATTTGCAGACTGGCAGGAGCATTGGAGCTTACTTTGAGTAGCTTAATTTAAAAGGATTATCCTTTATTCAGGTACGTGTTTGTCTGTTGTATTTGTAAAGCAGAACATTTATGTTGGTAGCATAGTAAATCTATTCCTTTTTCTTTTGGTTGGTTTTCTTTTTTTGTTTACTCCACCGTACTTTTTATGAGTGACTTTGATTTCTATCTTAGAGCGACTCAAATGCAGGAAACATTGAGAGAAAGTGGAATTGCACTTGTTAGAGCTAGTTTTCCCAACTCTTAACAGTACACCACGTTGTCTGTGGCTTTTGTTTGCTGACAGTGAAGTGCAACTGGAGGGCACTTGAGTAACCAGGGCTTAATTCTTTTTCTGTAATTTCTTCATGGGGACTTTAAGATAACTTTGATTTGGATTTTTGCAATTGTAGCATTAGGGCAAAAAGCAAACATATTAGGGTGTTAATAAGGTATTTAACTTATTAATATCCTATACTAATTTGAGAGGTCATTTATATTGATGAAGAGTAAAAATAAGGAAACTGAGCCATCTTTTCTTTGGCAGGAATATGAGATGTTAATATCGGCTGGATTAAAATAGCAACTTGAGTAAAGAGTAGCAGGTATAAGGATGTGCTTTGTGTTTAGGAAAGGAAACACTGTCCGGTCTGCCGTCAGTAGCTTGCACTGTCTCCTACTTGGCGGGCAAGGCGGAGTGAGGTGGGGGTGGTTTCACTGTGAACGCTGGGGGCCGTCCTGTGTCTGTCAGCAGAAGGGTCACTTGGAACCTTACCAAGGTGCATCTCAGAGGTTCTGATTCTGCAGGTCTGGGGTGAGGTCCAGGTAGCTTTCTAAAGAAGTGCCCCTGGAATTCTGGTGTGACTTTCAGAATCCTGTCCACGAGGTCAGGGTCAGAGTAGGAGTGCTGTGACTGTGGCCATTTCCCTCCTCTTCCTCTTGGACAGCAAGTTACTGAAGGAGCTTGAGGAGGTGCCTGGGGAACTCAGGAGAGTGGGGCTCTCACATGGGGGTCCTCCCAGTCGGGGAGTCGTTTCTGCGTGGCCTAGGCTGCAGTGTCCAGGTAGATGAACTCTGTTCCGGCAAGCGAATCACTGCTGTGTCCACTCTGGAGCCACGAAGGGTGTGTGTCCTGGAGTCTGCCTTGCAGGGGGCACATCAGCACCGGGTGGCGTGCAGACCCTGTCGCCCTCAGCATGGGGCTAGGGTGGCTGGAGGTGTGAGGGTCGTTTGCTCTTCATGTCTGAGGAAACTCAGCGAGATGCTCTCGGCTAGGAGACAGATTTTGTGTTAACGTGAGTTTTTAGGGACTTTTACCAGAATACTTCTTTTTGAATACCTCTGTATCCGTCAGAGACCAAATCTCTGTCGTACCAGCAGGCATGTTCTTTTTGGTATTGAACCCGTCGGTAAGAACAGTTCAATTGGACTCACTTTGGTCTTTTAAGTTACTCCTTTTCTTTTGTCCAAAACTTGGATTTCTACTTTAATAAACTTTAATACTATAGTATAGTATAGTTAGTCAAAATGGAAACTTGAAATACATTACAAAACAATGTTTTATTTTCTTCTTAGTATAAGTGCAAAATATGGGTCTATGATTCTGGAAACCCTTTTTGGGGTTGCTCAACAGGAATTTTTGAAATTGAAGGTTTCAGTATCAAGAACAACTTAACTGTTTATTAAAAATCTCCCTCTGCAGAAATGGCAGATAGTGGGGGATCTTCCTCATCTTGTTACGAGCCCTGTTTGGATACCCCAGCTGTTTTAAAGTGAGTAAAAGTTCCAATATTGAGGCTGGACTTGATTCTACTGCTTCTCCTAGAAGGTGGTTCATGGACTTGATGCTTCGACAGCACCAACCCCACCTCACGGTCAGTCAGTTTTGAGCTGTACTGAAAACAGAGTTATGCTTGAAGATTTTACAGATGTCTGGAGTTCGATAGAGTGATCATAAAAACAGAGTTCCCTGCTTGGTGGCTGGTCCTGCGCACAGCTTTGAAGAGACTGTTTCGTGTGCTTCTCAGCTGCCTTGCCATTTTGTAGGAACACACTCCGCCACAGTGCACTGTTACCTGAATCCCACTGTGGGTAAGAACAAGTGGGGTGTTCAGTTTCTGTGTGTTTAAAAAGCCCATGCAGACAGAGTTCAAAATAAGCAAACTCAGTGATGCTGTCTCAGTAATGCATTCTAATACAATTGTATATAATGTAAATGTATTCATGGAGCTAACTGGGAATGATTTCAGGGAGTCATTCTTCAGGATCACGTAAAGTAGGTTAAACCAGCGGAAATTTATGCTCAAGTGTGGAATCTCATAGAAACCAACAGCCAATCCGAGCAAACAGTTGAGACGTTATCATGCAGTTTTTTGATGGGTTTGAAATGAATTACCTAAAAACGTAAACATTGACCCTTCAGAAATACATGGTGCCAGTTGACAGTCAAGAATATTTTTTCCAGGAGTTCAAGTGGGTTTTTAGCTGGTGGAGGATCTCCTTACGGGGGGTGGGGCCTCCAGTCTCATGCTGTACGCTGCACTGACCTGCAGGAGGGCCGCTGGGCTGCGTGGATGCTGACTGGCTGAAGAAGCGACGTGCTTGTACAATGTGCGGCAGCAGAGTTGGAAAGGATATTTACTATTTTAGACAATCAAAAGAACTTGAGAATAGAAGTGAAATTTGTACATGTGGTTCTTGGTTTGAAAAAATACTTTCCAACAAGCAGTTAAAATTACTGCAAACATAGAAGGCAAATGTTATTGTAGATGCAATAAATGTCTGCAGGTAAGTTTAAAGTACCATTTAAAAAAACAAGACTCCCGTGGGTAAATGGGCAAAGAACTTGAAAAAAGAGGAAATTCCAATGGGTAAATAAACTCCAAAGACCCACACAGTAAAGTAGTGTACTGTCATTTTGTAGACATAGCAGAGATAAGAAGGTTTGCCCATTAGTGTATGCAGAAGCTCAGAGTAATATTCAGCTAGGAGTAAACTGATATCCTTTCGAAGAGCCACTTGACATTGTATGAAAAGCGTTAAGCATAGTCGTACTTTATGCTCAGTAACCATGCCTCTTCAGTAGCCAGAGTTTTAGGCCCTCTGAGACTTTTGCTGTGATTGATAGCAAAATTGGAAATAACCACAACGTGCAGTGAAAGGAGAACATGGTAATGACTGTACTCTCTGGGTTCTGAGCACGCAGGCCAGCCATGACGACAGACTGGAAGCGGATGCCCGGTGTGGGCCTCATGACAGCCCCCTGAGGCAGGCGCTACCACGTAGTTTGCTCGGAAATGGAGATTTGGAATTTAAAGTGGAACGTTCTCTCCACTGGATGGAAGATTGTTTGGCTCTTAGAGATGATTTTCTAAGAGCTTTATTTGACAGTCTGGGGAGAGCTGGAGAAAAGCAGAACGTATGAAGTTTCCTCACAAGAGCACATGGATCTGGGGAAAGGGGAACGTTTACTTTTCACTTTGAAACACTGATATACTGTTGATTTTATTTGGCTGTCATATTCTTTTTAATTACATAGCTTTTAAAAAATACTGGGTTGGAAACAAAGCAATGGTGTTTCTACTCCATTTCTGTTTCCAAAATGAACATTTTTTAAATAGAGAAAAGATTGTAGGCACCTATGTTATTTCAGTTTTATATAAAAAAATACACAGGGGTTTTAGTTAACTGCAGATTCATTAATGGATGTGAAACACTCCGGAGAAATAGTTGAGACCATGTGGAAGGCATCATGGCGGAATCCATGCCACCCCTTTAGGAGAATCCATGCCACCCCTTTAGGAGGAAAGGGGCTGGGAGGGTTCCCAGAATTAGAGGAAGGTAGGTTGGTGCTGTGCGTGCAGTGCTCCCAAATGGGGTGAACCATGGCTGAGGTCATGACCTGTCCCCACTGCAAGCATCTGGCTGCAGGGGCAGGAGCACCCTTGTCCAGGCGCTTCCTCCGAGGAGGATGTCGACCAGCCCATTTCCTAATGCAGGTCTCTTTGAACTTGGGATTATATAATTAAGTCCGTATTGTCCACAAACACATTTTTAGTGACAACAGTACATTTTTTGAGTTCTGAAATACAGGATTATTGTTAAAATTCACTCGTTCAATAAATACTTACTGGTGCCTTGTGTGTGTTGGGTACTGTGTGGGCTCTGAGGACACATCAGTAAAGACAGCACCTGTGGCCTCAGCCTTGAGAGGCTTCACATCTGCCTGAAGAATCATGATGTAACTTATACGGAGGGGAAGGAAAATTAAGCCCTGTAGTGTCAGTTGTTTGTTTCACTTCTAAGTGAGCTACGGTTCTCTTACTCATCATTGACGGCAACAGAGAACATTTAGAAGACTGTATAGTGATCACAGTACAGCACTTCGTATCTTGCTGTAATTATGAGCATTCTTACATAAACTGCATACTGCTCAAACATACATTTTATGGCTGTGTAATAGTTCATCAAATGGCAGTGCCACTATTCTACCATTCTTCTGTTATTTTCTTTGACTTTTCATAAATATAAATGATTAAAATTTTTATTAGTATCAATTCAGCTAATGAAGTATATATATAAATGTAAGGGTAATAATGTTCATAGGTAAATAACTGATATCACTATACAACTGCATATTGTTAAAAAACAGTATAAACAGACTTTACACCCCCCCCAAATGGGAAAGAATATAGTAAAAATGTCATTCTTAGCGATTACCTCTGGGTGTTGGGATTGGAGGTTTTGTTTTATTTATAGTTTTCTAGGTTTTCCAAATGTCCTCTGATGAACTTGTAACTAAGGAAAGAAATGGAAGAACATGTGCTATACACAGTATGACTTGGGTGCTGGTCCTCTGGTATGTGCAGGTGTTCAGACCTAAACGACAGGAGGGGTGAGGCTGTGTTTTAAAGCAGTTATTTAATGCATGTAACTCAGTGTTTGTGAAAGTGCAAGTTGGAAAAGTCCATGTGGAGTATTCCTGGATCAGAGTGAATAGTTAACTGTGGACGTTTTATGCAGGGTTCTCATAAATGGCTATTCTGAAGGATGTTGAATGAGGTGTTACTGGCCAGTAGTTTAGGACCCTGATCGTATTGAATTATCTTCCAAATGTCAGCTCTGCTGAGAAAAAACGTTGGAGAGTTAGTTTGGAAATTGTCCTGTTATACAGATTCTTTTGTTTCTGTTTTCTAATGTGTTTTTACAGAGTAAAAAAGTTGATATGTTATTTTAGTTTTTTCTCCCAATCTCCTTTACTTGTAGGTTAAAAATTTCGCAGTTATTTATCTTGTGGATATTACAGAAGTACCTGACTTCAACAAAATGTATGAGTTATACGATCCGTGTACTGTCATGTTTTTCTTCAGGTATGTGCCCTTATCTTAAAGTTGTTATTTAAATTAAATAGGTGATCTGGAGGTTTCATGTAATCAAAGTATCTTCAGATTTTTTTTATTTAGAAGGAAGTTAATTATAGTCTTATCGTAATATGGTTTGTATTACCAGGCAATCGATATTATCTTTTAAATAATTTTCAAAGTAACAATTCCAGTTTAGCATTTAGTCAGTAACAGATTACTCCTTTGAATTGAATTTGAATTTGAAACTGCCCAAAAACCTAGGTGGAGTGTAAATAAATGGAAGATATCCTTACTGACTTGTAAGATACCTCTAAATATAATGTTGATGAAAATGTGTTTTAAAGTCACTCACTTTTAAAATGTGACATCAGTGACTTGACTTAGCGTCCTTTTGTGATACCCAAGAGGAAAACCTGTACTGAAGCAGTTTGCTTGTAAATGCAAGATTACGGTATCAGCCGAAAAATCCTGTTGTGGACCCTAGTCAGTCAGTCATTGGTTTCAGGAATAGCATTTCCCTCGTTGCCTTAAATTAACTTGTACCCATGATTTGCAGGCTTTGCATGGCAGGGAAACGTGGAGTGGCTGCTGGTTAGGTACACGGGGGTCTGATGGAAACACAAATACGCTTGATGATATTTGTGTAATAAAGTTAAGTGACATCATGAGTGAAAGGAAATTCTGTTGTGGAGATTTAATTTGGAAAGAAATCACATTTGATGTTTTTACTTGTCATATTTTCTTACTGTTTATCCTTATTACAAAAGTGAGTAAACAGCAGTGTAGACATTAGGCCGTACTCCAGAAGTGGAGCTTCTCGGCTGGTGAGGACAGTCTGGGTGGAGTGAGTGCACAGGGTGTGTAACAGTGTGCACAACCTGGTGGCAAAACACCACCACTTAGGAGTCAAGGCCTGTAGGTCAGAATCTGACGGCTCAGTGGGTTCTGTCTCGGGGCCTCATTAGGCCAGCGTTGCAGGCTGGACTCTTCTCTGGGCAGTCAGTCGGGGAAGGATCCACTTCGTGTAGGGGGAGCAGGCATGGGCGGGGCACAGGGGCAGAAGAGCTTGCTTTTGGGGGGACCTGGGAGGACATGAGGGGACTGACAGGTGAGGGGTGGAGTGGCAGGTGGTGAGAGGGGAGTGGGAGGGTCCAGGTGCACCGATTTCTGGGCCAGTGAGGACTTGGAACAATGCCTAGAAGTGCACCTGCAGCAGGAGGGTAATATCACATTTGCCCTTTGGAAGCTTTCCTGGCTGAAAGGAGGCCAGAGCTCGACCTCAGGATGGAGCACTTCCCAGGGAGCAGCAGCTGGGAGTCAGACGTACAACCTTGCAGAAGCGAAAAGTTAAATTGATAAAAATTAGTGCAGCCAGTACAACATGGGCTAATATCTTTATTTTTATAAAGTGTACATATAAATTTATTTTAAAAAGTAGCCTCTTGAAAGATAAGTTTGTGAAGAATCATGGAAATACAAAGTATCATTCATTTCACAGTCAGTTGGGCTTTTAGTAGAATTTATACTAAGTGCTCATAAGAACAGCACAACAAACTCATACATTGCTTTCTTCAGGTAAATTAGGAAAACAGTTCAGCTTTCCCAGGGGCTAAAACTGTGTGCTTTGACACTTCGATTACCCTGTGGGTCAAATGCAGAAGGGGCTTTGTGTATTTCTTTAAATAGCACTTAGCTTGTTTCCTGTCTCCTCCTAAATGCTGTGCCCTCTAGATCGCATGTCCTTGTCTTCACTGAGGTGCAGCAGCTCTAACGGTGGAAAACCCAAGGCGCTTTTTCGTGGGATTCTTTTTGGGCCAGGCTTTCACAGCGCGGGCATCTCCCTCTGCAGGAACAAGCACATCATGATCGACCTGGGCACCGGCAACAACAACAAGATCAACTGGGCCATGGAGGACAAGCAGGAGATGATCGACATCATCGAGACGGTATACCGGGGCGCCCGCAAGGGCCGCGGCCTGGTTGTGTCCCCCAAGGACTACTCGACGAAGTACAGATACTGAGCTGCCCTGGCCCCGCACACAGACGCCATGTGCTTGTGCTCACGTGGAAGTGTTTACGCTCTTTAAGCCTTTGAGGAAGCGTTTGGAAAAGCACGCGGAGCTCACGTCGCTGGAGGGTTTGCAGTGAGGGTGGCATTGCTTTGACTTTCAGTCCACCTGGTCGTTGTATTTTTGTATCAGCAACTCTCTGTAAATATCTAGCTGAAATAAATAAAACAGATGGTGATGGGACAGTCATAATCATTTATTTCTTAGGAAACGTGATATTTGGGCCAGTGAGCCTGGCAGTCAAGAACTGACTCAGCCGTTGGAGTGAAGGTCAGGTGAGCATCTTTTGCGGCCCCTGTGCTTTGCACACTTGTGGGTGGGAGTCTGTCTGAGTTTCCTGGGGCCGCCGTAATCAAGGGCCACAGGTGGTGCCTTGGCAGAGATGTGTTGTCTCAGTGCTGGAGGCTGGGGTCAGGTCCGGGTGTAGGCAGGGCTGGTCCTCAGGCTCCTATGAGACTTCCTCTCCTCCCCTGGCCCTTTGTGTCCCTTGGGTTTGATGCTTCCCCCAGTCGAGGCCTTGGTGTTCCCATGGTGTTCTCCCCATGTGCGTCTGTCCAGATGTCCACACTGGATGAGGGCCACCCACTCCAGCATGACCTCATCTCAGTGTTACATCTGCACCAGCCCCATCACCAAATAAGGGCACGTGCTGAGGTCTTGGGGTTAGGGCTCCCAACCCACAACAGAAAGGCTTCAGAAGGATCACACACCTAAGGAAAAAATCTTTTGTCCTTCTAGTTAACAAGAACAACAACAAAAAGTCAAATAATGATTTCTGGGGCCTTTCTTTTAAATATAAACAGTAAGAGCTGTTTCTTATTCCTCCTAAGATTGTACCTAGTGTACTTAAATCCTGTACTTAAATTCTGGAGAGTCTGTAGAAACCATGACCCTTCAGTGCATGTAGCTAAGTCGTTTCCTTATCACAGCCTTGGGTTTCTCTCCTAAATCTCCTCCCAGCAGCAGGTTATTGGCATTATGTACAATAGCACAAAACTGGGAAATAACCTCAAAATCCAAGGAATGGTTAAAGGGATGGTTAAGTTACTTCAGCCACATGATAGAACATTAGTAACCATAAAAAAGTATGAAACTTTCACATCGGGAGAAGTGTTCATGACATGAGAACATAAATTATAAACAATATGACCAACTATATAAAATCGCCTGCACAGAAGAAAGTGTTGACGGTGGTTAATTCTAAACTGTAGAATCGTGAGTTATTTTGACTTTTGTATAAAGCGTCTGATGTATGTTACATGCAGGAATAATGTTATTTTTTACAATGAGACCTAGAACTGACCCACTCTTTAGGTGGTCGTAGCTCTGTTTGACTTTGGCTGAGAGGGAGCTGAACTGGACAATAGTTTGAAAGCATCTCCAACAAAATAAACTAACATGTGATCTTTGTGTGCCTCCTTGGTGACTGCCTGCACGTCACGGAGCTCCTGCATCACCTGTTTCTTTGGTTTTCCTTTGATTTGGTTTTGTTTGGTTTGGAGAACGTACTGTCAGAATATGCTTGTTCTGGGCAGATTAAAACGACTCTTCCCCAAAACTGACTGGAGTTGTTGAATTGGAATGCAGTTATTAAAAAAGCAACTTCTATCAGAAAACTGCTTATGATATTTTAAAGAAAGAGCTATAAAGAACTTAATTCAGAAAAAAATTGACCTAATATAGTGTATGCTTTTCTTCCATGATTTACAAGTATTAGGTATGCATTGAAAAATATTTTTCCATCTTACAACCATCTTTGCTAAGTGGTTAATGATCTGAATCACATCCTTATTGCATTGCCTTTGTTGTTTTAATCTTTCATTTTACTAAAATGAATTTTTAAATTAAATACTAAAAATCAGAATCGTATTATGTAGATTATTACTCAAAAAGTAACAGTTTTCGTTTTCTCACATTTTCAAGTGACTGGTCCACTGTCTTCAGGTCTGTAAGAAAAAAATAAGTAGTGGTTGCTGTATGTATCAATTACTGTACAGTTAAATACGCTGGAATCCAAAGCTTTCAATAAAAGTACCTTAATTTTCTATAATTACTAGAAGAGTTTTGTGTAGGAAAAATTAAGTAGGTACAAAAACATGAATGTTAGGTGATTTTCAGTTAAGTCGGATGGAGTCAGAGTGGATTCGTGGCTGAAGGTGAATAGACCATGGGGTTGCTTCACGCCATCAAGGAGAGGTTCTCCTCTCACAGCAGCCTGTCTGCCTCCCCACACGCGGGGAAGGTGCTCAGATGCCACAGAAGCCAAATCTGCCTAGTTTTTACCATCTTGGGGTCATGGACTCCCCTCCCCACGGCAGCGACGCAGGTTAGGGGTTTTGCCGAATCCTCTGAAACCCACCGGCACAAGCCCTGTGTTAGGATGCACTGACCCAGCACAACCAACAGGCACAGAGGGAGCCGAGCAGACCTAAGCCGGTCTGTTAATTTAAAAGGCACCAGCAGCCTTAAGCAGACTTTAAGATACCTGACCTCTCACGCAGCTTTAAATAATGGCTGTAAGTGCATCAAAACGGTGACATTTTAAAACCTACTTAACCATTTAAAACAACCAACTGGAGTCTGGGTGCTGATGGGAAGGAACTGAGTTACCAGCTGCCATCCCCTCCCTGGCAGCATGTGCAGCACTGGAGCAGGTGTCCTGGGAACCTGGCCCTGGAGGTAGGGGGTGGCCGAGGCTCTAGGGCAGGCGGGCTGTCTGCTGCGACCTCCCTGGGTAGAGCTAATCGTTCACAGAGGTGGGGCGCCCTCCCCAAGACTGCAGCTCATGTGTGCAGGACACAGATTCCAGTTATCTTTTGACCAGAATACCGGAGGTAGAAACAGAAACAGGTAAGTCACTGACAGGTGGACTCGCTCTCATTCATTCAGCAGGATAAGCATGGACGATCTGCCTGCTGACCTGGACGACTGACCAGGAAATGGGAAAGCAGGGCAACAGCGGCGTCTAATTGTTCAGCTAAAATCAGGAACAGCCTAGTGTCCATCCACAGATGGCTGTGTAAAGATGACGAGGTGTGTGCAGAATACTACTCAGCCATAAAAAAAGAATGAAATTTTGCCGCTTGCAGCAATGAGGATGGACTTGCAGGCTCTGATGCTGAGTGAAATAAGTCAGACAGAGAAAGACAAATACTGTGTGCTATCACTTGTATGTGGAATCTAAGAAATACAGCAAAGTAATGAATATTTTTAAGAAGAAGCAGACTTACGGATATAGAGAAGAAACTAGTGTTATGAGTGTGGAGAGGGAAGGGGGAGGGGCAGTATGAGGGTGGAGGATTAAGAGGCACAAACTATTAGGTATAAAATAAGCTACAAGGATGTATTGTACAGCACAGGAATACAGCCAACATTCAGTAATAACTATAAATAGAGTGTAACCTTTAAATACTGTGAATCACTATATTGTACACCTGGAGCTTATGTGATACTGTACATCAATTACACTTCAATAAAGATAAAAGTTAAAAAATTAAACGATAAAGATTAAATGTGAAATTCTGCTGGAGAAGAAATGTTTGCATCCTGGGGTGGGGGGTGGGGTGGTATCCTCAAGAACCACTCAGGAAATGGGGTGAGAGGCTCATGTGTCTTTTTCAGTTATGTGCACACACTGTCTCACACAGAAGCCACCAGTCGTAATTCCCAATCTCTCATTCATCATGACTCGTGTTTTGACTGAAGACTAATTTGAGGGATGAGGGTGAAAATTCAATTTAAAACAGTAGTTTCTCATTTAAAATGTGTACCTTTTAAGGACCTATGACAAAGAATGTTTCTGGTCTATTTAGAAAAGAGCATTTGTAAATTCTTTTCTTATTCCTGAAGATTTTTCATGTAGTGCAGAGGCAGTGGTTCCCTTAGTGAACAATGACGGGATTAACATTTTCAAGATGAAAGCATGCAGAGGATATGCAAAAGGCAAACATGTTAGTGTCCTGATAAGGCCTTACCGTTTGCTCTGCGACAGAACTTTCGATCCCAGCTTGCACCATCAAGTCATTTACGTTCTTCTGTAGGTCCTCAATCCGACCTCCCATCTCTTCCAGTACAACGTCAAGGAGAATAGCACAGGGGAGAGAGGCGCCTGCCCAGGTCCCTTCAAAGACTCCACGTCAAACTGCATCAGTGGGACCGTGAAGATGCTCTGCAGTGCATTTAAAATGAGGGCATGAAAGACAGCAAGTACCGAACTTCAGGTCGGTGCAAGTGAACAGCGGCCCTCAGGGTTTTGTAGTGTGTCCTTTGCACTCTGCACCCAGTTCTGAAATCTTGGCTCCCTCTGCGTGGACATGAGTTTGGGGATAAGAGGTTGTCTGGTACGTTTACCTATGTTTTAACCAAGCTCTAATCAGTATGTAAATATAACGGGAATTAACTCTGTTTAAAACAAACTTTGCTATTGCATAATTTTTATCATGTTTAAGAATCCTCTTTTCCCTGATCACCTACAGGATCAAAAGTTGCAAGTAAGTGGTTCCCTCTGCAAGTACTTTGCACACGTTTTTAAGGAAGGAGTTTCATTGAGTGAAGTGAGATCGCTTGGGCAAGTCTTAGGGCAGGTTTCCCCTTACCTGGATTTTCTTAAACAGGAAACATTCTATCCTAACTCTGAATTCATGTCTTACCAAACAGTGATCTGCTGAAGTTACAAAACGAAACAACATAAGGAGAACCCCGCAACAGACCCGGTGTTGGAGACCCTCCCTGGTCCATCTGCAGGGTTCTGCTTGCTTGGGGGAGTGTGGGTGCCATTGAGCAGACTATCCAGATGCATCCAGAGCTTGCTGGAAGAGCCCCACTGGGTCGTGTCTACTGTGTGTGTGTCCCTGGGTTTGATCCTTACCATGCAAAGTGCCCTGTGTTGCCAGTCAAGCAGGAAGTAATTACCTGTGGTGATTAACACATCTGGATGCCAGGTAAAGACAAATGTAAACACCAGGAAATCCCAGGCCAACAATTACCCACAATAGCAGACAACAAAAAGATATTCCATGGCAGCTCAATATTCCAGAAGCATTGTAGAATTTATTATAAGATAGAAAAGGATATTTCTGAGGTTTAATGTTGCAGCCAGAGCTTGAAAATGTTCTTGAAGTTCCTTAAATAGATTTTCTGCCTGAAAAAAATGAACCATGAGAAAACCGAAAAGCATTTATCTTTGATGCAGGGTAGAATCACCCATACGTGTAGTTAGTGGATTTCTGATAAGGTCTGAGGCCTTTCCACTCAAGGGGTGAGGAAGATCTTGTCAACCAACAGTGCCGGCGCGCTGACAGCCAATACACAGCTGAAAAACAAGCCGGCCCAACCCTTAACTCGCGCCATACTTAAAGAGTACCTCAAAACGATCAGACACTTAATGTAAGCATTAAAACTATCAAATGTCTAGAAGCTAACACTGGAGAAAAGCTTACTAACCTCGGGTTCCTCAAAGACTTCCTAAGAGTAGCTGCAACCCTCGGCCGGAGCACAGCCACAGCGGGCATCTTGCCTTCCCCACACTTCGGGGTATTTATTAGCTGGTGTTGGGTTACAGAAATTGTTTACCAGGCCACACAGAAACAGCAACTATTATTACTGGCCGTGTTCTATGTTGCCTTATAGTTTACAAACTGAAATCTGGTACCATTTATGACATAACTCACTCCTCACACCCGTGTAATGCCTCCATTTCAGAGACGACGAGGATGGACGCGGATCTCCGGCCTGAGCCCACATCTGTGTGCGAAAGCGGCCCTCTACCCCGAGTTCCTCGCCTTCCATCAGAAGTTTTTCACTTTGTCAGGAAAATGTGGGTTTAAGTATGTGCATCTAACCGATTTCTTTCACCAAGACAAACTCATCAGCCTTTAAGTGCCGCCCCCGCTCTCCGGCTGGCTCTTCTCCGGCGGAGGGCTGGTGTCTCCG